ATAAAAATCACTCACTTTGGTGAGACTATGGCTCTCTGGAGGCAGATCATCGCCTCGCTCATTTCAGAATGATTTCACGGGACCCTGCTCACGCCGTGGCTGTATATTTGCCTTGAATCTGCAGACCCCGGACTGGGTTTTTTTTTTTCCAACAGTTCTCGGAGCCTCTTTGTTTGGTTCTCTCCCTTCTTTTGTGTTATGGTCCCACTCTGTTTCACTGTCCTTCCCAGGAGGACTCATCCTTGTTGTTTATTTGACTTAATTACTATGCCAGCTCGGTGGCAGCAGAGAGGGAGGATGAGTGACACTTGAGCCCAGCGGCCAACCCTCCCCTTCCTTCTGCGCCGACGACTCTACAACCGCCAGCTTTTCCGTTCATTAAAATCGGAAAAAAAAAAAAAAAAAATCTCCGCCCCTCTTCGCCATCGCCATCGCCATCTTCCACCATCCTCCAACCCCTTCCTCGGTGCTCGGTGTGGGTGTTGGCTTTAAACGTCCCCTGACAGGAATCAAGAGAGCCATCAAGCACCTGTGGACCTGGCACACAAGCACACACAGGCCCCGGCAAGTGGTGACACACAAAGACAACAAATCTAATGCCTTCACATGCACACACACACACAGATACACACACACACACACACACAGTGAGCCAGTGCAAGCCAACAGCAGTTTGCAATCACACGTAATTATAGAAACACTGATTCAACAGCACAATAAAAGATACCATTTTGTGAGCTCATGCTGTTGCGCACGGGCACAAGCGCAAAAGCAGGTGTCTAATTATACAAGCGCGCACACACACGTACACACGCCAGCCCCCCCGCCCCGCCCCCCCGACACTTTCTTTTCCTTTTTTTTTTTTTCCTTCATCAAATGTCTCTCAATAATGCACACAACCAGACACTACTTACAGACTAAAGAGGAAGAAATCACAAGAGAGGGTGTCGAGTTCTCACACCAGGATCTGGCGAGAACATTCTCTCACACACACTCGCGCGCATGAACACAGCACTGGCAGTATATACGAGCCATACACCCGAAGGCCACTTCATTAGGTAGAGCAGAGACTCAGCAGAAGGAAGGAAAGACTCGGTTCTTGATAAACTCTGGACCATCTTAAGTCAACAGCAACACATGAAAACAAAAAATCTTTGATGAAGATCTTGTGACCGTGAAGGGAATTTAAGTCCGGTTTATGGACTAAACGGAATTGGAATATTTCAAATTGGTGACATGGCACAGTATCCTGCCTAAAGTGGAAATCATAAAACCGGCGCCTTTTGGTCATAAAGTCATGGAAATGGTCATAGAAATACAAGAGACATTTAGACTAAGGGTTTTAAAGGGTTCCTCCAGTCGGTACTAAAAGGCCTAAAGAGTGCCAGAAAAAAAGTCCTTAACACCGCTCCACTGCAGAAAGGTCAGACCGGTTGATACCAGGAACATCCGGCCCCTGGTATTTAAATTACATTTTTGGCCACAGAAATTGACACTGATCGGACGAAGACGAAGTTTTTCAGGTATAACATAAATCGCAGCCTCAGTTTTTAGCTGAGAAGATTGGGAGCCAGCGCCTAATTATCGGTGCTATCGTTATTATACATTTTCGGTCGTTCCGTTTTGACCTTTGACCTCAACATGGTGTTGTTGTCGCTGTTGTTATCATCAGATCGTAGGATGTTCGATGGAATCTTCTACACCAGGGGGTCTCCAACCCCCTGGGTTGGTTCTGGGCCGCAGTGGCATTCGTTCAAAAAGAATCCAATCATATTCCTTTACTTCTTTCATTCAAAGATCTGTCAATGTTTCAAAACAACAGTTCATTCAGACTCTGATACTGACAGGATAAAGAGAAAGAGAAAATTGAATGATCCTCCGATCACGGTGCGGATTACTGACAGGATAAAGAGAAAGAGAAAATGTAATGATCCTCCGATGACGGTGCGGATTTCCCGGTCCTTGGTAGAAAAAGGTTGGGGACCGCTGTTCATAAAGATGTAGAGGCAGAATAATCGCAGCACATCTGGAACCAACATCAGGACCACGTTCCAATCTCATTCAAACCTCTTCCTGTTGCCTGCTCTGGACTCCAGCGGGTCGTCTTGACCTTTTCTACATGCTTTAACGCACTCGGTCGCTGCCGTGTCATTGACTGATTGGATATTTACATGACCAAAGCAGGGAGGCACGTGCAGCTAATAGAGCGGCCTCTAGTGTACATAAAGAACGACACTTTAATGCACTCCTGGCTTCAATCGCCGTACATCTCGACCTCTCCTCCGGCTTTAACTCCACACATCCGTCACTCGTACAGTCAGTCAGTGCGGAGCGCGGACTTTGATGCTCGATGACACGCGGTATCTCTCGTCTCGTATTGTTGTCAGCAACTTGTTCGTATGTCAAACTTAATGGAGGGGGAAACTATGTTCACATTCTCCGAACAGATGGCTGAGTAAAGACGGGATGACATTTTTTTTGTTTTCCCATCAGGCTCTGCTTTGTGCGCCCGGACATGATGGAGCCCTGGGGAGCTGCGATTGCTCTGGAGTCAGGTGAATTCAGCTGTGATTCCTTCCAGATTTATTTAGTCAGTGAGATAAATGCATGTCAGCAGCCGTTAGAGAGGGTTCTTATCTCTCTTCATCATCAACGGTACAACGGGGGAGCTGAATTTAAACAAATCAAAGTGTAGATTGGACAGTGATTCTTATCCAGGCAGTCAGGACAGTTTCCAAAAATGCAATAAAGATTTAAATCTGTTCAACCCTCAGACTTAACAGACCTGAGGAAAAAACCTGAGGCTTCAGTTGTTCATAGGCAGCTAACTTTACTCTGTAAAAAAGTTTTTTTTTTTACTTTTTATCTTCGCTTCAGAACTGAGGATACTAATTATTGCTAAGTATCCAACTATTAGCCTACTCTTATAGTTTAAATGAGCTACTTGACCGTTAGCATTGTTTGATTTTTCTCATTGGCAATAGATTTTGTCAATAGTGGACTTATCTGGACTGCAGGCAGGCTAGTCAGGCACATGGAGGTTGGAGTATGAGGCCAGATTTGGAGACTGATCTACTAAGAAAATTCCAACATGAACCAAGGCATCAGTCATTACTGTAGCTGCCAAAACCAGGGAGGCCAGATTTGGAGACTGATCTACTAAATTCCGAGGAAAGAAAATTCCAACATGATGAACCAAGGCATCGGTCATTACTGTAGCTGCCAAAACCAGGATGTAGAATCACAGAATCTCAGCACAAAACACATTTTTTCTTATTTTTTGTCCATTAAAAAAACCTTAAAACTTCAGAGTTCCCATGCACATTCAGCAGCAGTTTCTGCCACTGACCTTATTACAAAAAGATTTCTCCCTGTATTTACATAAAATATTGTTTTCCCATACAGTATACGGCAACAGGTTTGATAGGGTGAAGGGTTCAGGCTTTGGTTTCTAAATGTGTTCATGTTTTACCAATAGAACTAAATTTAAAGAAAGTTGTTTTGTTTTTTTTTAAATGACAGCTCAAGTGAATTACCAACTACAAATTTGACTTTTTTATTGTCTTTGAATGACGTTCACCGGCTTTTTGTTGTAAGACGTAGACAATGAGTTCACCCACACCCACACACACACACACACACACTCACACACACACTCACACACTTCAAAGTTGAAAGGGTGATAAAGGAAAATATACTGTTCCTAAATTACAACCTGCGCTCCCTCTGAAGGATAAAGCATGTCATATAAGAGGCCTCTAAACATAAGTTACACCGAACGTCTCGGCTAAAGATAGAAGGTGAATTAGAGTGACAAACGTCACGTTCACCCGGGCCCTGACCAACGTTTGATTTCCCCTCAACAAGGACAGAAATCATCAGAGGAACCAAACCTCAGGGGCGGGGGGCGGGGGGCGGGTCAGACACACAAGAGCACTTAAGACCACGCTCCGAAACGACGGCGAAAGCGTTCGTCGATTTACAGAGATTGTGTTTTATGGCGGAAATGGTACGAAAGATTTAAAAATAAATAAATAAAATAAATAAATAAAAAGACTCAAGAGGAGCACCGCACTTAGCTCTGTACTTTCGGTCATGTTTTAGGACAAAGAACCATAATAGCCTTCCCAAAATATGCCAAATATGTTGACAGTTATTTCTAGCCGAGATGAAAAGTCTGCTCTTACAAAGAGCCTGATTTAGTGTAGGGTGTGAGAGATGGAGAAAGAGAGGAGAAAAGAAGGAGAGAAGGAGAGAAGGAGGAGGAGGAGGAGGAGAGGAAGAAACCGGCGCTCCGCAGTCTCCCCTCAAAATAACACAGAAGGGGAGAGAATAACATGTTTGCTGTATACGTCAAAATGTACACGTGCACAGTATTTAAAAAAAATAAAAAATAAAAAAAACGGGCCATTAAACTAACCTCCGCTTCTCTACCGTTCCATTCTGCTGCAGATGCATGATTTATTGCACGCGCATTAAATCAACATGCATAAGTAGTTTTCCATTTAAACAAAACTCTATAACTGCTGGATCCATTTACAGTATCCTAATGAGGAGTTAAGGGGGGAAATATATATATTTAAAAAAAAAAAAAAAAAAAAGAAAAAAAAACAGCACGGCTCCTGTGAAGAAATGTTCTGTGTCAGGAGGACTGAGTTTTTTTTGTTTTTTTTTGGGACAGAAGCCATTAAAACAGAGGCTGCGCTGCCTCGTTCTGAGCACTTAACAGGGCTGCACGGAGAAGGGACGGAGCGCGGGGGGAAAACTGTCACAGGGGCCAATATACATTCAAACTGCGGGCGAGAGCCCCCCGTCCACGGCATATGGAACCAATCTGGCTATTTGTAATGAGAATAGTCATATTTGGGAGGAAGGAATGAGTTCACTGGAGAGCAGAGACGGGAGAAGGCTGTGGACAGAGTTGGATGCTGGGAGGAGAAAGGCTGGGAATGTGGGGACACTTAGGAAGACAGACAGACAGAGTGACAAATCAGGCTTACCTTTGAAGGACAGCTTTAGTCTGGGGACGTTGTGCCTGGGCTCACCTCCTCTTCCCACATGCACCGCCCCACACAGCAGCACTACAATCCCAAACAGGTAATCCATGGTGCTGGAGAGCTGCTGCTGTCTGGCCTCCAGACCAGGGGGCACTCGAACCCCGAGCAGTCCCCCGCCCTGGGATGAGCGTCCGTCTCCCACTGGGGCTGAGACACACGCAAACGCACGCACGCACACAGACGCACACGCACCAAGTTCCCCTGAAAAGTGCACAGTTCCAGACCCAATCAAGCAGGCAGACTGAGAAGAAGAGGAGGAAGGGGGAGGGAGGGAGGGAGGGAGGAGGTGGGGGGTTAAAATCCTGGATGTGCAGATCTTTGGAGGACTTCAGATGGTGGAGATGTGCTGCTCACATGGCTCCCAGTGTTGGATCCAGGATAAATAGTCCCTTGGTGTTTGTGTCTTGCTCCAGGTGAAGCCTGAGTGGAGCTTCAAACGGCGCGGGCTGCAACGGACCCGAGGAAAATGTAGCTCAGATCACTTTATCCACCACAGCAGAGGTTCTTTTTGTTGTATCTCTGTCTTGTGGCTGGTTCCTCTCCTCCTGTGAGCACACACTCACAGCAACCCTCTAATCCCTGTGTGCGGCTCCACCAGACTGAGAAAGAGAGAGAGGGAGACAGAGAGAGCAACACCATCCACAGGAAGAGAGGGGAGGGCGAGCAGCTGAGAGAGAGCGGGAGAGAGAGAGAGAGAAAGAGGGGGAGTGACTGTAGAGAGAAACGATGAAACCTGGATATGGAGGTTTTCATGTTGTAGTCTCTCCTCCACCCTGGGTTTTTCCACCTTTTCTTAGTCATCAATTTTTCCGTTTCCTCCATAAAGATGACTTTGACTGAATCACTATCTATTTACTCTGGACTTTGAATTCTCTTAGTTTTTTTTTTTTAATCCTGACATTTCCATAACTGTGACTAGATTAAAGTCCAATGTCATAATTTAATGACTCACTTTAACAGTTTTTTTTCTCTACAGCTTGGATGTTTATATCTTTTTCATGAAACCACAGATACAATATACATGACAAATAAAAACCAGGTCATTTAATGGTGGCTACATTTCTATGAAACATTTCATCCTTTTTGTTTGCATTATAATCCAGATGACACAGAACTTTCCATTATATTAAACAAAAACCTAAATTTAACTTTAATGATTTAAGCAAACATGTAAAGGCAAATCACAGCAACACAAGGTGCTAGCAAACCATGTAGCCTAAAATGCTAAAAGATAGAGTAGAAGTAGTAAAAACAGACCACAACGTGGCACAAATATAACCAGTTATTCCAAACTTTGTAGCCAAAATAGCTAAGATCTATCCCTGAATCTTTGTAAAATGTTAGCTACAAGCTAGCTAACAGCTAAACAACAGGTTTTGTTGATTGTTAATGAAAATAAAAAATTGGGAAGGTGTACTCGTAAAGAAAAATAGCAGAAGGAAAAGCAGTAGTTAGCAGATAGCTAAAGGTTTAAACCAAGAATGGGCAAAAAAAAACAGCTTAAAGTTAAAGCACTTTTTTTATTAAAAGAAAGGAAACCAAAGCTAACACTACGTTTTCTCTACGATTGACTCCCTTCAGTTTTCCTCTATTTTTCTTCCATTCAAAACATTTGTTTTTCACGGTTTGGAGAAAGTTTGTGACCTTGGAAAAGGTTGGAGTGTCTTAATGTGGAGGATATAGGACTTGACGTGCGGAGTCGTCTCATCCTGGAACAGTCACTTCATTTTCTGCAGCTGTTTCAGCATGGGGCTACGATTCCTGATTGTTTGCTTTACAAACTTCAGGAAATATTTAAGGGGGGAAAAAAGTCACTGTTTTTACAGATATCACTTAGATAACCACAGATGCTAAGGCTACCCAACACTCACCAAATCATCTGTTTGAGATTTGAAGGCACTTTTTCTGGGATTTTCTGAGGTAAAACCGGGGATTTAAATGTGATTAGGACTCTGTAAGAATCTGAGTGGACGCCACAGCTGAAGGAAAACAGTGACGGGCCTGGGAAACGTTGAGAAAAATGAATCAGAAGCAGACAGAACTGGACGGCCGTGTCCAATTCTACGTCCATATCATGTACGCCCTCGGCTACCAGACCACAAAGGTAACAGATAGACAAAAGATAGCTAACGGTTAGGTGTAAACACAAAATGATATCAACGGGAAAAAATTAGTTTGGGATTACTGTCAGCCGTATCAGCTGGTGCTCAGCACTTTAGAGTGGCTATGCTACGTTAGCATCTCTGCTGGGATTTACCACTGGTTTAGACATGTCTTGTTGCTAGAAAAACCGCTACTATCAGCAGCTAAATACACATTTTTGTTAGAAGTTTTTTTTTTAACAAGCTAAAAATTTTTGTTGTTGTTAATATTGACAAGACACTTTAACTCATGAACCAGGTCATTTAAAGTGGGCTCAAATAGACGACGCTCCCCCTTGTGTTAGCTGATCCCGACCCTCCCTGCTGCTAACACTAATAAACTAAATTCCTGCATAGTTAACCTTTATAAGTCTGTCTTGTCAGCTGTTTTACACCCGAGCTCCTCCATGAATTGTTTGTCTTTTGTGTTCATACTTTTTTTTTTTTTTTTTTTCCTGCAATGGTTTCAACGGACTGACTATTAGCTAAACTACATACGTTTGTCTGGATCCTGTCTCTGTTAAAGTCATTCACATGAGCAGTGCTGGTCCACCCCCCCCCGCTCCCCCCCCAACCCTCTTCCCCTTCCTCTCCTCCCCCCTCCACGCCTGCTGGCCCCTGCAGGTGGTTGGGTGTGTTTGCGGGGACACCTCCTGTTTCCTCTGGGGGGGAGGACGCAGCGGTGGTGAGGTGATAAAAGCTTTGATAAACAGGAGTGCTGATGTGTCAACTCACACACCTTCACACACACACACACACACACACATGCTGAATGAAAACACAGGCAGAAATGAGCGGGTTTATGGTGAACACGCTGAGTGAAACTGTGAAATGAAGGCACCCTCATCCTCCTCCGACAACAGTCACACCACAGCGTTAGCTCACAGTGAAACAGAAACAACTTCTCGTCGTTGCCAAATCTCTAACCTCAGTATCAATCAATCAATCAAAGTTCTCAGGCCTGAACAATGAAACTAGTCACAGGAAGAAAACGTATCATTAGATCTTTGTCCAAATATGGGTCAAAGACTTTTTTCTTTTATTTATTTATATTTTTTGCCTTGGTGGTAAAATTTTGAATCAATAATTAAAAGTTTAAAGATACTTTTAATATTTAAGTGTTAACTTTTTTCTTTTTTCAACGTCCATCGGAGATCAATATTTAGTTTTGGCTAAATGTTTTGTTTGTTTGTTTGTTTTCTTTCACTTTTAAGGCATTTTTTAAAATTATTTTTGTTGATGTTCAAAGAAACTTTTAACTTTTTAACTCTGTACTCAACTCAAACAACTCTAGTGGAGGTATTTCTGAACCTGTAACTTAATGGGAGTGAATAAAAAAATGAAATAAAATCAATGAATTAATTCAAAGTTGGATTGACATTCACAAAAAAATTATCTATTTATTTTTTTTACCCTGAAATACCAATAGTCAGTCAAAGACACTTAAAACAGAACAGTCAGCTGTAAAAGTGAGTGCATTAAAAGAAGTTACACTCACTTTTTTATCAGAAATATTAAACATTTTAACACTTCTGAAGTTTAACTAAATTTAAAGTTCTAATTTCTAAACTGTTGTTGGACAAATTAAATTTTTTTAAACTTTTGGGCCAGAAAAAAAAAAGGGTCAAAAGGCCATGACCGTTCACAGGTATCTACTCCACACTTCTGGTAAAAATGAGATAAGGAGAAACATTTCCTCATTTCTCATGTTACTGGTAAACTTCCAGGAAATTCGCAATAATGAAACATTTTGTCTGTTGTTTTTGTTTCATAATTCTCCTCATTTGTTAAGACTTCAGAACACAGTTCACAATGAGGATCAATGCAGTTTCTGTCTGTCTTTTTATCTACAGATCTCTCTATCCGTCCATCTATCTAAACGAAAGGTTTGCAAAGGTCGTCTGTGTAACACGTCCGCCCTCATGTCTTCACCTCCACACCAGCGTAACGTCCACGTCCTCGTAACTCATCGCCCCCTTCAGTCCAAACTGCCTTTTTGGATGTTTACTCCAAACAAAAACATGTGCAGACAGACACATAAAAGTCTCTCCTTCTCTGTCACTCAACTCTCTCCATCAAGCCCGGCCCCCGTGTGACCAACTCCCCCGTCTCATTTATCAGCATTAACCAAACCAACAGGAACGGCCCGAGCTGGGAAACGTCCATTTTCACCGGCCCAGTAGAAAACACCTTCACGGAGGGTTGCCCTTTAGGGCGTGCGGCTACAGTTCTAAACCCATCCCTGCCAATCTATTTCTGACGCCCCGCGGGCCGGCACCCTAGCACCCCTGAGTAATGACGACTTAATAAATGGTGACACACCGCTGCCCGTGGTATGAGATGACCACTGACAGGAGGCTTTCAGCGCCTGCTGGTAAAAATAGACGAGGACACAGGACACCCCCGTGTATGAGGACACGGTGGTGAGGGCAGAGGCGTCAGACGCCTCTCCCACCGTGTGTGTGTGTGTGTGTGTGTGCCATTACAGATATGACAGTGTGTCTTCATCCGCAGCTCTGGGGAGAGCTGTTAATCTTCCCTGTGTGTATGGCAGGAAAATGATTACGGTAACACGACCTGTGATGTCTCTTTTTACACAGAACATTGGAGGAAATGTCCAGCCCAGTTCTGCTGCACACGCTGGCCCCTGACATCCCCTCATCTGCCTCCGCAGCAGCACACGCCCGCTAACGACCACACGTACCAAGGCTGAGGCTCATGCACAACAACCACGGTGTGACAGCCAGTTCACACAAACACCGGTGAAAAGACCCTGATGTCAACGTCATTTTTGGAACTTTTTTTTACATTTGTACATTTGATTTTTAAGGTTTGGATGTTCACTGGACGGACTCTTATTTTGACGGGGTTAAAACTCAATGTCGTTTTTATCTTACTCACGGAAACTCAAAGGGTTTTTGTCTTCAAATAAAATAAAGTAGTCGTAACGTGTCTCTTCTTCTTCCCAAAAAAAATGGCGCTGCCACCACGATGTTGGTTTACTGTTCTACAGTCCATCTGGCCCATATACAGGTATATGGGCCACAACTGGGCCACAAAATTCCAACAGGAATTTCTAAATATGCTCCCCTTTAGGGGGCGCCAGAGCAGTTTAAGCAAGGTGCCGAACGAGGAAATTTAAGACGGGTTTGAAAGTAGCTACGGTAGCTAACATGAGTTCCAGTTCCTTTTTAATGTTCTTTTTTTTCACAGACCAACAACAACAAAAAAAAAACTCTAGTACACATTTGATATGATCTCACGGGCCAAATATAATTACACTGTGGGCCAGTTTTGGCCCTCGAGCCTGAGTTTGACACGTGTGGCCTAGATAAAGTTCTACTTTGAGAACCTCCTCTCCAAATTTAAAAAAAAAAAGTAAATGCACTTATGCAATAAAATGACCATTTTTAAATAATATTTAATACTATGTAACATTTTTCACGTATGTTTCTAAATGTCTGGACTTATGCAATAAAATGACCATTTTTAAATCATATTTAATACTATGTTATATTTTTCATGTATGTTTCTAAATGTTTTAATTTTCTGACATGAGGCGCAGGTAGTTCTTGGAGCTCCTAGAGTAGAGCTCTACACCTCTGAACAGCTGTTGTGACCAATGTTCTCCGTGTCGTTTTGCTCTATCGCCTTCACTTGATGACGACTCTTGATGACTGTCGACCGCTGTAGGTCTCAGGAAATTCTAAATTCTACCACAACAGCTGAACCTTTTTTTTTTAAGTCACTGTATTTGACAGCTGATGTGTAAAACGTTTTAGTGACTGAGCATTAACAAAAATATCAAATTATCAATAAATTTTTTTTTCATTTTTTTCAATTTAAATGTTCACATTAGGTGTGTTAAAACTCTGACATCTAATGACTAATATTGGTCATTTCCATCTGACCTTTCTCAATGTCGTCAAGTTTTTTTTTTTTTTATATATCCACAGTAATCGTCCTATGACACACCAAGCCCACGTACAAAAGGTCAGCAGTTCTTTAATGTCAGAGAAGTTCCTCTTCCTGTTCCAGCTCCGTGCTACTGAAGGTCACAGCGCCAGGTCTGGCTCAGCAGATGACCTGTGCAGGAAACACCCAGGAGGAAGAGGTGGGACGTGCTGAGGACAGACAGGAGGGAGGACAGAGGAAGACCACCAGGTCCTGACAGAATGTGGACGCTGCCAACGACGCAGCAGAGCCAGAGCCTCCCTGAAGGTGATGTCAGAGTCACGAAATTGAGGAAATTGAGCTAATGTTGCCAAAAGGTGTGGATTTTATTTCCTTGATTAAAGGGTGTTAGAAAAAAATTTTTTTTTATTTCTACAACTTTTGCTTATTTCTTTAAAACCTATAAATATCATAAGTCAAGTTTTATGTCTAAATTTTTTTTTTTTTTTTTTTTTTTTTTCTTTTGAGCCATTTTATATTGGTACGCCTGCTGGGGATTCGTTTGCTGGTTCAATCCTGTCTTTCTGCATGTAATTCTTCATAGGTGGCGTTGTTATGAACTGACTACAGTATTTATTTATTAGCTCTTTTGTTTAATTTTTTTCATTTTCTGGCCTATAGCTTTGTTTGTTTTTGTTTGGCTTCACCTCCTGTTTCCACATTTTCTGTTTTAGTACAGGATTTGAAATGAATTCAACTATGTTGTTTTTTTAAACAAAAGGCTTTACAGTGGAACCTCGGTTCTCCAACACCTCCCTTTTTGAACAAATAATTGCCCTGGTTGTTGTACGTATCTATCTATATCTTGGTTGCCAACAATATCAGGTGGTCAGCAAGTGATCACTGACTGGAACTCATGTTTCACATGTGTCTTTACAGAATATGGTTTAGCAAAGTCATCGATTTGTACCATCAGTACCAACAAGGGTCAATCAAAGCAGCTGAGGTTACCAAAGGAGTGACTGTGATCAGCAGGCAGAGATCTCAGACATTAGAAGAAGTGGAAAAGTTGCTACTGATTTGTAATCAACAAAAAGCAGTTGGCCGGGGACAGTATTTCGAAGAGAAAAATTAGCAAGAAAGCGAAGCAAACAATGCGCAATCACGATTCCTCGAAAATACTGTAGAACAAGTTTGAATCAGTGTAGAAATAGCTAAAGAAATTATCACTGGGAGGATTCAACAACAAAAATGCAGTGGAGTCAGTAATGTGTCATGAGTCATGAGTTCCGAGGTAAATGACACAACATCCTAGTAGAGAGTGTGTGGTAACAAATGACAAGTGAGGAAAGTGAAACTGAGCGTTTTGCCAAAGGGAGGAGAAAGGGTGAGTTAATAAGGGAGGAATTGAGTAAGTCTGGACTCTTTCATCACACACAGCACGCCGGTTGTAAAGTTGAAGATCACCTAATATGTTACACAGTTATGCAAGTCAACTGTCATGATTGAACATTTACTGAAACGCCATAAATAGGAACGATAACCTGAGACTGAAATAACTCCCAAACTGTGTCTGTCTGTCTGTGTCGAGGCTTTACTGTACAGTCAGCGTCATGTCACGGGAAATACTGAACTTTCCGATCAGATTAAATCAGCCGTTAATCCATTCGTCATCATACGTACAGCTTTGTTTTTCCTCACATTGATACAAAAATCTACATATAAAACAGCTTATTTAATAAAATATTTGAAAAAATTACGACTATAAAAAAATTCCCAGAAACAGAAACATTAAAAAAAATCCACTCTGAAGTCGATTATTCGTCAGATCTTTGCTAACTACAGTTAGCTTACAGTGTTTTGCGACTCAAAGTTAGCAAAGCAATTTGAAAGGCAACTAAAAGTTGCACTAAAAATAGCTAAAAGCAAAAGAGGTTAAATTTACATTTAGGAAAATTCCATGTACGAAATCAATGGCCACAAAAAAAAAAAAAAAAAACCAGCACGGCAGGCCACAGTTTGGACACTGAATAATCTCATAGAAGATTTAAAAGTTTCCACTCATCATATCATTTTTCCTCCCTTTTGTTTCACTCTTCAAACTTCAAAGTTTCCTCAAAGAATCAACTCAAGGCCTCATTAAGAATCCTTCCCCTCAAGGAAAAAAAAAAAAATCTTCAAACCCCAGCTGAGGGAAATGGGAGGTTTTCCCTTCGTTTCATTGCCTCTCTATAGGTCAGAGGTCAAGCTCCAGGTTTACAATGGAGGTCACGCAACCCCATCGTGAGCATGACGGAGCTGGAGCTAATCTCTTTGAGCGAGACTTTTCCTCCTACACATGCTGGAACGCACGGTGATCCGAGGCTGCACATGCCGTTTCCACATCCACTCAGGACAAGTATGTGAATGAGTGTGTAAATAAACAAATCGTGAAAGCACAGTGCACCATGGGAGAGACAGAAATCAGGATTGGGCCTCGAACATCTGTTGGACTGATGAAGGGGAAGTTGTTGAGTGTTGTGTGTATTTATTCGCGGCTGATACATTTCCATCCATCTCTCCGGGTCGACTCGGAGCCTCCTGTGGAGCCTTTGCCTCGCAGATGTGTCCGCTCTGCTGACGCTGGTATGAGCGCGGTTCACAGGAAGCAAGGAAATCCGACCATAACGTAAAACTGATTCATAAAGTGTGATCATTTCCTGCTGTTGACGCTCCTCTTTGAGGAGGAGGTGGGTAAGCAAGTGTGCACTTGTTGAGCAAGAATGAAACCGAAGAGTTTTTTTGTTTTTTTTCCCCTCAAAATCGGACAAGTGCGATGATACAGAAAGATTTGCTGAGTCACCCAAACCCCTGGGATGAAAGACTCCTGAGATCTTTGAGTCTTAAGAAACTGTGACACGAAGCATCACTGGTGCGTAAAGGTGCGGAAGAAGTGAGGAGGAGGGAGGACTAATCCAGAATCTGTAGGAGTTCTTTAGCCAGCGTGCATGTGTAAATGCAAAACACACCATTAGTGAATGGAGGTTTGTTGGGGGAAGGATTTAGACGCAGCGTTGGTCTGAGGGAGCGGTGGAGGAGCTCATTATTCCTCCTCTCCGAGCGAATCAGAGAGCTTTGCAGGCTCTATTCAGGCTGAATAGAGAGATCTGTGAGGGATCTCTCAAAGAGCATTAGCTCGTGTGGTTAAGTTGCTGAAATTAAAGAGTAACCCTAAATGGCAGGATCGGATGAGGAGTGGGGGTGTAATGATGGCACTAAAAGCATCGCGCCGGGGGGCCTGTCATGTCATGTTCTTCACTTTCATACCGTCAGTACTTTTTCTCAGAAATCGCAGACGGTTAAATGTCAATGCTGCACGAGAGCAGGTAACGAAAGTCCTCATTTGAACACGAGCGGCGATGGAGGAGTCGAACCTTTGACAAGTGGCCGGCCTTTTCATCAGCCACAGTCACAGGAAGCTTTGAGTGCATTTATAAAATAAAAACATTGTTCGGATTCAAATATGAAATGAGCTTCAAATGTATTGTGTGTTTTTTATAATACTTTGAAGTTTATTTAAGAGGGTAATATAGTCCAAAATGAATATTCAGTTCGACCAGGCCTGACATCTGTAAACTAGGTTTCAAACCCCCAATAAAGCTGTATAAAATACAGCCCCAAACCACTACAGAGCAGAACCTGACTAAGCCTCTTTTGTCAGAGATTCCAATTTAAAAGTCTGTATCTTAAAATTTCTATTATTTCTTAAATTAAATGTTAAGTTGAATATTTATGTTATACAATTACAATTTTTTTTACATTTTTTTTACAATAATAATCATAATAATTTTACAATTCAACAGACACATTTTTTTATATTTGCGTTTAGTTTAATTTTTTTTCTGCCTTTCTGTTTTGTACTTTTGCTCTATTTACCCTTACAAGTATTAAAAGTATTATAAGTATGGGCATTACTTTAAACACACATTATAAATAAAGAAGGGGAGAGTTTGAGGTTGGTCTTTGTCAACCTTTCCTTCAGATACACTGATGTTTTTGTTGAGTCTCCTTAACTACCGTAGCCTCTGGTCTACAGACGTGTCTTTATTTAGTTTCTATTTGCTGCTGCTTCTTAGAAACAATCTGGTCTGCCACTATCTTCTCTACCTTCTACTTCCTTACTTTCTTCGTACTTCCCGATGGCAGCCTGATCACCGTGCCTGGATATTCCCAGTACTCGGCAGAGAGGGAATACATTGTTGGTGAATTATCACCAATTTATGTTTGTTTGTGTTTCAAAAACAAACTAAAATATATGTGAATAAAGACAATTATCTGTCAGACTAGTGTATGTTTCAGTTGTTTAAATGTAATTTCAGGTGTTTTAACAGCATATGTACTGTACCACTAATAATATACAGTGTATACTATGTACTAATATGTACTACTGTACTACTACTTAGAATGAACAGTCAAATAAATATATTGTCTCCATTATTTTGAGTAAATAATAATGCTTTAATAATGGGAGAAATAACTTTTAATTAAAGTTAATAAAAAAATGTATAAACAGCTTTAGTTTTAACCAAAACAATGATCACTCACTTACTTCTAAAGTCTGGGCCAAATGGATGTGAACCACAAAAAGATTTTTAGCAAAATGATGGCACGTTTGGCCATGGCTACGAAGAATGTCGCCCAAAACCGTCACATGTAGGTCAGTTCTGTTTTTAGACTCCTTTTGGCTGACACGCACCAACGCTGTGGTCAGCATGTGGCCCAGATCTGGCAAGAAGAGCCGATTGCCCATATGCCATCAATCCACGCCATATAAGGGCCAACACAAAGTGTTACATGTGCCTGACGTGGGGAGGATTGACATAACAAAAGAGGGGGGAAAAAACAACGTAATTATTATAAACCAAGAGAGACTGTTGGCCCCTGGCTGCCAGATCGCCAAACATTTCTTCGTCTTTTGAGTCTTTGCACTGTTTTGACAATTACCGCGAGCTCCACAGGAAAGTTTGACATCAGTGTTTATTAATCCAGCCTTGATTATTTGTTCAAGCGCTGCACAAATCCTCAGTTCATCAGTTGATTGGGAACTCCAGATAGAGATTGTGGGAGTGGAAACATTCTCTGTGGCCGCAAAAACACATCTGAGCTCCCAGCAGCCATTGGAGGAACAGCCCGGGATACTTGTTCAGTTACGAAACGCCAGGCAGATTTTCAAACACAGATCCCAGAGTTTCGGAATGCCGTTTGCTGCCATCGCGTTTCATACATATCAAGTTAGGGATCAACATCTATACCAACTAACATCTTCTGCGCCCATAAACAGCTTGTATATCAGTGTCCGTGTCACACGATCCATGAATGGTTAAGAATAAGACTTGTGTACGAATCTGCTGCCGGCTTCATAAATTTCCTCCTGTCAGGAGGAAAATTCTCCAAGTGTTTTTTTTTTTTTTCCTTCTTCTTTTTTTTTCCTCCAGTGTGTCTCTGAGGCTGACAGAGCAGGAACAGTGACACAGCACTCCAGTCTGTTCTTCTATTAAATATTTACACGCTTGTGAAACATATAAAACTAACCGCCTGCGCTCACATTACAGCTCTGCAGAGGAGTCGGATTTAATATGGCTCACATTCACTTCCAAGAATATGTGCGTTAAATGAAGAGATCTTTGGACGGACAGATAAGCAGACGGCTAGAGAGACAGATAGAGACAACAACTGCGTTCATGCTCCTCAGCTCAGGGACTGTGTAACGGTCAGTTTGGGAGTCATGTTTTTTTATGTCAAGTTCAAAATCCCACTGGAGGAAATTGCGCATGCATTCGTCTGTAAAACAAATCAAAATATGTTTTGCTTCACCGGTTAAACAGATTATGTGCATTAAAGACGGTTGAAAGGTTCTGGCTGCTACTGTCTTTCCACAAGATGAGCTCCTTTTATATTATTTAACAAATCCCTGAATCGAAATGCAGTGGTTGTGACTCAGTGGATTGAACATTAATCTTTTAAGAGAGGGAGTCGACATCATACAACACCTCCCCAAGTGCGAGTTAGAGCAAACAGTTAGGGTTTTCGTTTTATTGTTTGTCAAGAAGGGTATCCAATGCTGAGCCACTTACAGAGAAAAGAAATGGGAAATATGAAGCAGCAGTCACAGGTGTGAGGGTTATTAAAGGAAGTGAGAATGGCTCAGTGCACCAGGTTAATTTCTCCCAGCGGTCTAGGCCTACAATTGCTTATTTAGTTATTTTGGCAGTCGACAATAGACCCATTAAGACTAGCGTTAATTTTATTTTATTTTTGAAAAAATATTTCCATTAAGACTAGCGTTAATTTTATTTTTGAAAAAATTGATAATTTAATGGAATTTTTTTCTTTGGAGTAATTATTTTTCAGTGTACTAAAAAGTATTCGTACTGTGATCAAATTGAAATTTTAGATAAGGAGGAAAAGCTAAAGCTGTTTGTCAACCACACAATCCAAGTTAGTACGCCAAATAATACTCTCAAACAAAATTTGTTTTTGCTTGTACAATATAGCCCGACTGCGTTTCCGAGGTAACCAACGTCTCACTGAAATTACGCAACATCAGCCTACATTGATGTATATTCAAAACATGCTAAAAGGCTAGCGCTTCTTCTAGTTCCTCTCCAAAAGAATTTTTTTTATTTTGACCACCTCTTATTTTTGATATTGTATGAAATATATTTAAAGGGCAGGTGTGTGTGTTTTTTTCTACCTCATAATGTGCTAGCGCTGTAGTGACTATTTTGGGGTCGGAAATAGCGCTGGCATTTCTACCTAGTTCCTGCCCCCCTGGGGTGGAAATGCACGAGGTTCCTGATATTGTTTTTAGTTCCTGCAGTGAAAACAAGCCCTAAAATGACACAGCATCCATAGACTTCAGGAGAAGGCCGTCTAACAGAGGAGATTTTATGCTCGACAGCTCGGTTCGCTGAACGTCTCTTGCTAATAAAGCAGATACGTTGTGGCATGAGGGTGACTCAGCTGTTATATACGCTGCGGGGTGATTGGACCCAGCTGTGTGAACCAGCTAACGCTTCCACGCCAAGAGAAAACAGTTCTGTATTTTATCAAGACGCAAAACCTCCACCCAGATACACACGGCAGCCCTGGTCGGCTGGTACCAGACATCATCACCTTCCACGACTAAAGCCTGTTTCACCTCCAGATAAACTGAGTCAAGAAAGGCCCATTTTTAACAACCTAATTATCTCCTTATATTTATTGTCTTAACATTCTCCAGAGGACATTAGCACAATATTATCAGTTCACATTCATCAGGACTCATAAGGCAACCTTGAGGAACTCTGCACTCCTTTCTACCCCCACCTTTCTACCCCACATCAGTCTGCTGCAAGTGTTAAAGTGTTAACCTTAAAATGTCTTTTTTCCAAAGACCTTGTTTCCTGCGAACCTGAGAACAAAGCTGTCGTGTAACCCCTTTATTCACTCTTCTATGCAGATGACGTTCCTGTATTTTTCTGGCTTTAACGAACTCTTTACAAAACCTTGGGTGAACACAAACCATCTGTGTAAACACAGGTCTATACACTGAGCGATGGGACCCACCTGTATAAGAGCACAGCACCTTTAACAAAAGCTCCTCTGATGCAGCTTCTCTTATAGGCTGGCACTCTCTGGTACAGACTCTCACCGTGTACCTAGGGAGAGGTCGTTCTTTATTAGACTAATGACTGAAATGACTCACTCCAATTCGACATGGTATAATTGAAGGACATCCTGCTCTGTTAATGAATCATATATTCTGCACTCCCCTCCCCTCCCCCCGCCACCCTCCCTCACTCTCTCTCTCTCTCCGTCTGTCTGTCTCTAGTGAAATCGCCCACTCACAAATTGATGCTTTGCATTTGCTGTCCCTTAGACACCTTGTAAATCAAGTATAATTGACAGGGAGACGTGATGAAATGCAAAGTGGTGCGGCTAAATGACTCCATCAGAGCACCTCCATTCAAACCTCCTAGGTGACCAATTATCTTTCACAGACTTGCATGGCAAATAACAGGCGGCTGTAGGAGGCTGAACACAGAACTCTGAGCTACAACACTGTGGGGACGTGTTTATGTGGCGGTGATAAAAGTTCTGGACACGTACATTTTTCATGGATCAGCGCAGGCAGGGATGACCAGGTCCACTCACCTTCAGGCACGTGTCGAACCAGCGACTGGTGACTTTGACTTTGTCAGGACGTGGCTCTGGATGGTCAGGGGATGCATTTTCCTAATAAAGACACAAGTCAAATATTTAATCGGAGTATTATCATTCAGGCATTTTACAATGAAATATCAAACACGAAATAAAGAAAAAATCTAAATCTAAAGGATGGATTATTTCTTCTTTAAAAGCCTAATAAAGACTGGTTGACATTTATATATATATATATACAATATATGTGCATATATACAGCAAATATATATTTACAATATATATGTGAATATATATACAGCAAATATATATATACAATATACTGTATGTGTGTATATATATATATACCAAATATATATATATATAATATATGTGTATATATACAGCAAATATATATTTACAATATATATGTGAATATATAGAGAGCAAATATATATATACTATATATGTGTATATATAGTAAATATATATATATACTATATATATGTGTATATATGTTCATATATTTGAACGTTTTCCATTAACAAATGTACACCTTGGAGACAAAACGCTTCTTTTCGCCTAAAATGCAACACAACACAATAAAACTGGTTTTCTGCTGGATTCATCCATCGCTACGAAATGTTATAGTCTCTGAATTTCTGACCAAAAGTTTATGAGGTTTTGCCCATGTTTAGGGCTTGGACCCAGTGTGACTGTAGTTACTGTATTTACATTATAATGAAAGTCCCTCGGAGAAGTTTATGTGCCTTATTTAAGCGATGAAAGTCTTGGTCACAGGCTCGGTCACAACAAAAAGGCCACAGAAAACCACGAGTCTCCCTTTAGCATGTGATGTAATGCTTTCAGCTTATGTGGCCCAGTTGGCAGACTGTGTACTTACACATTAGCTGGAGCGACATGGTCATTACGGGCCTTCACCGATCCTTCTTTTTCTCAGTTCACTGGGCTATTTTCTCCTTGAAGGCACTTTGTTGTAACACGGTATATTGTGTTATTAAAAACTATGTGAAGAAAAGATCCAATCCTGACTGTAGTGGTTTCACTGGACAGGACTGACTTCTCAGCAGATATAAAAGACTTTTAATTTTATCGTAACCAAGCCTCAACTGTTTACAACAACTGTCCAATTACGTCCATCCCTACAAGGAATTCTTTTTTTTTTCATTATTTACCAGCAATAGTCGGAATGCTGTTTTTCCCAAAGGGCAGAAAGTTGGACTTCCCACGACTCATCTCATCATCATTATCCACACTTCAATCCTCTAAGATGTAAAAGAATCCCTTCAAATGTTTTTTTCCTTCCCAGATAGCGGGCAGAGCCAGGGCCACCGTGTTCCACGCCTGGACTTGGACTATTAAACCACTGGACAGATGGAATCAAAGTACTGTCCACAGGGTGATTAGGTTTCATTATGGAGAATGAAACACTCCATTACTTTTTACGGCCTCGTAATAAATGTCTTTAAAGAATGTCTCCATTAGTTTGAGGGGAAAAGGACGAAGTCTCCAGAGAATAGGACAAAGTGACTTTTAAGGACTCTTCTCTGGTCCACGAGGGGACTAGCGAGACAGACATGGTGAGACAGTGTCGGAAGGGAAGGAGGGACTATAAATGTCAGCAGTTTGTCTAAGTGGAATAAATGAGTGCGGGTGTCATTTGTTTGCTCCCTCTCTCTTCGACCGGAACAACGCAGTCCAGCTGAGACCGAGTATCAGAAGCTCCAGCCTCAGCAGCTTCACATCTGGTGAATTACCATAGGAAAACAATCAACTTGGAGGACAAATGTCAAAGTGTGGTTTGGGGCGGGGGCTTTTTACTTTTTCTGCTTAAGCACAAACAATGAAGAAGCAACCAGTTGTGGATTAACCCAAAATTGTGCAATGAGGGCAACGCAGTTTGGACAAATTCTGTTATCACCGCACGTCCAGAAATGAATGCTGGGAGGGTGAAGAGTCTCTGGAGTGTTTTGGGACTGCGGGGCCTATTTGGAGGAAAAAAAAAAAAGTCAAGTGGATGGTGGCCCCCAGCCATAACTGTCTGGCAAAGGATCAGTCTGAGTCCTCTTCAGTCAAAGGCTCCTTTTCTCTCTACTGTCATTTCAGACGTCTTAGAGAAATGACACAGACACTGCTGCTTATGGAAACGGCTTCTGGTCCTGCTGGTGAGAACCGGGAAAGGCTTTCGCCTGACACATTCACCAAAGACTCGCTCACATCATATGATGACACACAGGCTCACTGTCGCCATCTTGCATTTCAATAGGGGGAGCCGACAAGATACTGTACGTTTGTCGCAAAAGGGTGAGAGTGTGTGTGCCTTTGTGGCCGGGTGTTGGAGTTTTTCTTTTTTTCTTTTTTTCCTCTTGTTGAAAAGAATCGACGAAGATGATACGGATGTATTGGGTGTCTCAAACAGCTGTACTGCATATGTACTGTCTTTGAACTGCAGCCTTTGTGGTACGTGTAAAAAGAGATGTAAAGCATTGACATTGGTCATCTGAGCACCTGAGAGGGGCAGAAAGGTACACGGCTGAAATCAGAACTCAACTTTCTTTAGCACAAGGCGAATGGTGAAAAGCCGGAGGGCCATGGGTTCACATCGAGGAGGAGGAGGAGGAGGAGGAGGAAAATAAAACATTTTTAAAAAAGCATTTGTGTTCATTTATATGGAGCAGGATGAAAAACAAGGGTGTATCATCACTAAAATCTCACAATGTGATATACAATATCATGTCCACAGTACAATATTTATTGTACTACTGTGTCAGAGCCCACGGTATGACAATATTTGCTTTATTGTAATTCAACTGAAGCTCTGAACGACTGCTATTGTTGCCCATTATTAGTCAGACACTGGTGGAAACTCTGTAACTTGAGCTTTTGCTTTAAAAAAAAAAAAAACCCTGCTAGTTTATAATAATAATATATTTTCATAAATGACATTATCCATAACAACTGCTGATAAGGTTACACAGCAGGTCAATCACCAAGCTACGTTCCTGTGGAGGTGCTACTCTGCTCCTGGCTAATAATGCTAACTTGGCTACGTCTGTGAAGGCTGTTTTAGCTAATAATTCAGGTTGGCAAAACACAAGGCAAAAAAATAAAAATAAAATAGTTAATTTTCATGTTCACTACAAGTGGTACAGATTGGCAAAGTAAGCAAAATACTGCTACTGTAAGCTAATAGCTAGTTGAACCAACTAGCTAGGTGGAGATGAGACAGACTATTATTATTATTTATTTATTTAACACAATTTTAAGAGTATTTGAGGTGGGACTCTAGTTAAAAAGTTCAATGTTTGTTTTAATTCAAAAGGGGTTTAATTGAAATCACTGCATTTTATACATTTTAGTGAAGCTAGCTGGTTTAAGTAAACAAATATATATATATATATATATATATATATATACGTATATAAATGTGTTCTTTCCTGGATTAAGTGACTCTGGCCGGTTTAGTAGTAAGCATGTGCTAATCCTTTAAGCTAAATGTATTACTTGTACAACACATTAACATGGAAGTACATTTGAGTGAATCTGTGCACGACATTAAATAAACTTACGGCAAAATCCACAAAGAATAGAAGGAAAGCTCTTTTTACCTTTGAAAAACAAAAACCGAGTTAAGTTAGCCAAGGTGACTGCACGTTGATTAAAAAACCACGCAGAAAATAACTGTGTTCTCTCCAGAGAAAGACCAACAACAATGCAACAGTACAACAGGAAGTCACACGATACATATCCTGAGCATTTCAGGACGTATGTACTCTACCTCTGCTGCTGTTGTGGCTACAGCACCATTGTTGGGCAACAGCAACCGATTCATTACTGTGATAGTAATGGGAGACATTATGTATAATAAGGCAGCGCGTAATCCCCTGTGCCACCGCGTTTCAAAAATTAAATGAGCTCTTCTAATGGCTGTAGCTGAAGCACATTCACAGGCGGGTGATACAGTTGGTCACCGGTGTCCTCAGGCACAGAAACTCATCACATCCTGTTCTATTTTTTTATGTGTGTGTGTGTGTGTGTGTCAGTGAACTTCGACAATAGCCACGCATTGTTTTTCTTTGGGGCGGATTCCTGCCGGATGATGGACGAAGCAGTGTCCTCCTGTTTCCCTCTGATGTTTGGGCTCTGTATTATCCCTCAGCTCAGTGTAGTTGTTTTGGGTGGATTCTGCTCTAATCCCATGTGCTTCTCTCACACTGTGATGAAAGACAGCCTGTTGGTACTGGCTCAGCACCAAGGCTGACACACAGGTGCAGCGGGGGGAGAGGAGAGGTCACACCGCAGGCCTGGACTGATGCTGCTTTAATTATGGCTAGATTTATAAATGCTAATATGACACATCCATAGAAACAAATGAGCTAATTAGCTAAATGGGATCTGTGCAGATGAATGTCATTAACAGCGGTGACTCACACTGGGCTGAACTTGTAAAACCCTACTTTCTTACAGTGTCAAACCTGCTGGATTCCGACCCTAATCCTTTAAAATGTGTGGAGTTTAAAAAAAAAAAAAGACATGCAGTGTCTTCTTTGTTGAAGGACTGTGGTATTTTGACAAGTTCAGCCTGAGCAGCCTCCTCATTTTTAATGTAAGGGATTACCTTAAAAAAACAGTTGTCAAGAGAAATATGCAAACAAAACCAACAACACAAAACACATCCTTTGGCCAAATACCTGCCATCTGAATCAACAACAACACTGTACAGTCCTGTGTGCCTGCTGACATGTGGACGTGTCAACTATGGTGTAGAGTTGTGTTGTACCCAATCGGAATAAGCCAGGAGAACCACCATGTACAAAAAAATTAAAATCTTATCAACTGGTGGCCTGCAGGCCATATCGGAATAAGCCAGGAGAACCACCATGTAAAAAAAAATTAAAATCTTATCAACTGATGGCCATATCCGGCCCGCAACTGGATTTCAAAATTGTGACGCTATGAACTATGACTCTATTTGACTGGCAACTGGATTTCAAAATTGTGACGCTAACTATGACTCTATTTGACAAAAATGTGTTTTTTATTTGAGTGTCTGTCCAGAAAAATTCTGGCCCTCC